TGTAGCCTCAGGGTCCTCCATGCTGTGTGGGGACTGGGAGCAATCATAGAGGTGGCCTGCAGGGGAAGCATACCTTCCCCCGCCCGTGTGATGAAATGGTAATCAAATTTGCAACTCCTACAAGGGTACATTTCATTTTTAAAACGTCAGCTAGAGGTTTCCCCTATAATGAGTAGTTTGGCCTTGAAATAGAAAATACCTGCAGTGCAATCCTATGACTCCAATAGACTCCGCTTAGGACTGCACTCTTAATGACTGCAAGCCACAGAAGTAACACAAATGGCCAGAACACTGCTGAACTATTCAGATCAAAGGAATAACCACCTGATAAAGCATTGTAGGAAGAAAAGAGTAGAGCACCATCTACTGGTAGAGATGCTATGCGGTTTAATAATTATTTATCAAACAAGTTTTCAACTTAGCAGAGCCAAGAACTGTAAGTTACTGCAAGCTAAGTTACATAAGATGTCAGCTGTTTATATCATGGATTTGATTTTTAAATGCCCACTTAACCAACATACAGTTTTGAAAGAAAGTTTAAAATTAAAATGAGCTCATCTTGGATACAAAAGAAGCAAAGAGCTACTTTGAATTTAATTGAATTTATTTTAGCAAAAAGAAATAGGAAGCAAAAACTAAAGAATGAAGACATACAGCATAAGCAGAGTGGTGAACAGGACAACTATTCTGGTTTCTGTGTTCTTTTCGCTCAGAGTTGATTTGTAGATCCTATCACTTCAGTTGTCAGAGCTAGAGAAATGTGCAGATGAAGATACAGATTTTTTTTATATATATAGGCAATAGAGGATATAGTCGGCTGTATAAAGGAATATAGCCACTGTTGGATTTATACTTATTGGAAGCACTTCACTGTGGCCAGTCACAACATTTGCGTTTATCATTAAAAATTAGCATTACTGGACAAGCCTTGATTAATGTATAGCTGTGAGCACAGTGGTAGACTTTTGTAGGATCCTGTAATTTAGCACAGATTCCCATCTGCTTTGTCAAGACAAAATGTGTGTGCTGTAGATGGAACAGGTTATGACTGCTCTGGTTTCGGAGATTCATCTTGGGGAGGAGGTTCAGCAAGTCTGCAAAAAAGAATAATATGAATAATTTGGGAATAATTCAGGCTATGTGTCAAAAATCATGTCCACCTTGAAAGTTGTTTCCATTGAAAAGTGCAACATAAAACACATTTTAAAATGGGAACGTGTAGGGCTCATTTTCACAATTGTCTCTAGTCTGGCAGTTCATTCTGATTTCTAGCCTCTGCTATCACATGCAGATAGGGTTGGCAGCCTCTGGGGTGGGAAATAGCTGGAGGTTTCAGCAGGGTATAATGCCATGCAGTCTACCTTCTGAAGCAGCCATTTTTTCCAGGGGAATTGATCTCTCTTGCCCGGAGACCAGTTATAATTCCAGGAAATCTCCAGCTAGCTCCTAGAGGTTGGCAACCCTACACGCAGAGAGAGAGATTGTGTGTTACCCCATGGTACATGAGGAATTCAGTGTACTCTGACTTTTAGAAAGGATACTGCAAGTCTCTTGGGCTGCATCAACAGAAGTATAGTGTCCAGATCACGAGATGTGATGGTACCACTTTACTCTGCTCTGGTTAGACCTCACCTAGAGTATTGTGTTCAGTTTTGGGCATCACAATTTAAGAAGGATATAGACAAGCTGGAACGTGTCCAGAGGAGAGCAACGAAGATGGTGAGAGGTCTGGAGACCAAGTCCTATGAGGAAAGGTTGAAGGAGCTCAGTATGTTTGGCCTGGAGAGGAGACGATTGAGAGGTGATATGATAACCATCTTCAAGTACATGAAGGGCTGTCATATAGAGGATGGTACACAGTTGTTTTCTGTTGCCCCAGAAGGTCGGACCAGAACCAGTGGGTTGAAATTAAATCAGACGGGTTTTTGGCTACACATTAGGAAGAATTTCATGACAGTTAGAGTGGTTCCTCAGTGGAACAGGCTTCCTCGGGAAGTGGTGGGCTCTCCTTCTTTGGAGGTTTTCAAACAGAGGCTAGATGGCCATCTGACAGCAATGTGGATTCTGTGAACTTAGGCAGATCATGAGACGGAGGGCAGGAAGGGTTGCCTCAGTGCTTAGTTCTTGTGGCCCCTTTTTACACAACCAGAGAAATGCTGATTGCCACTTGGGGGTCAGGAAGCAATCCTGGAGGGTTTTTTTGTCATCTTCTGGACATGGAACAGCGGTCACTGTGTGTGTAGAGGGGGAGCTATTTGTGAATTTCCCGTATTGTGCAGGGGGTTGGACTAGATGACCCTGGAGGTCCCTTCGAACTCTATGATTCTATGACTCTAAGTGTCTAGTGGGTATATGCCTTCATTCCTATTTTTAAAGATCAGTAGGGCATGTCAATATTGTTATATTTATTTCATGAAAAAAGGAACTGGAAAGTGGAGTGAGAGGGGAAACCTGTTGCAGAAAAGTGGCATTCAGGAATGGGAACAGATTTCCAAATTGCCAAAATTGCCAGCAGGGTTTTTAAAATATATAAATAACATTTAACATGATAAGGGCCCTGTATAGTGCTGAACATCTAACCTGTGAAGAAACTGAGTCCTGGAAATTTTTCTCTTCTTTTCTCTGCGCCTTCACTCTAGGCTCACTCCCTGGTTCACCCAGGAGTTGCAGCTCATAAAGCAAAGGCTAAGACAGCTAGAGAGACAGTGACAGCGTGCCCGTGACGAAGCTACAAGAACATCTTATAGGACGTTCATGAGATCCTATGAGATGACAGTCAAAACCATGAAGAGAGAGTACTATGTGGCTATGATTACATCTGTAAGCTCACACCCAGCCCAATTATTTAGAACAATTTGGTCTATGACTGTTCTGCCAGAAGGCAGACCAAATGTTACGGAATTGGACATTGGATGTGAGGCTTTTGCTCATTCGAAGACCAATGCTCCCTCTAAGCTGTGGTGTCTTGTGAGCAAACATTCTACTTTGTGAGCTACTAGCATTAAAGTTGTGAGTGAGCGACTTGGCTGCTGCATAAATTAGTTTGCTCTGGAGCCATCCTTCCTGTACTAAGACAAAAATGTGTGAGCCAGAGACTAAAAAACTGTGAACTAGCTCACACTAACTCAACTTAGAGGGAGCACTGGTTGAGACAGTGAGTGAACTCAAGGCTCCGTGCACGTCTTCTAGTCAAGTTATGGATTATTTCAGTCCGCTCAGCCTAGAGGATGTCGACAAATTGCTCCTAACTATATGCCCTATCACATGCTGCCTTAACCCGTGCCCTTTGTCGACAAATTGCTCCTAACTATATGCCCTATCACATGCTGCCCCTTGACCCATGCCCTTCGTGGCTAATTAAAGCTGGCCGCGATGGGTTTCGAGGTGCCCTGCAATGAGGCAGGACCCTTCAAATACAAACAATTCTCCAGAATCTTTGCTGTATAATATAAACTATGAACTGAGTGCTTGTTGCTCACAAATCTGCCTTCTTTACTGCTCCAGTAACTATACTGTACATCTACATGATGCCATGAAAACTTTCACACACCCTGACTATGGGGACAATATTTGAACAATCAGAATGTTTACTGTCCAGAAAGTGGAAGTGAGGTTTGGCTGAGAGTAATACAAATCTAGAGGAAATGTTGGTATAAAGAGGTTGAGGGCTGTGGAGCTTGCAAAGAAGGAGAGCCAAAGAGTTGGGGGGGGGGGCAGGGAGAGCTGAGCAGATTTCCATGACCAGGGGTCATTTCACAGAAAAAGAGGCAGGAGAAGCGTCTTCGTCAAAGACACAAAGGCATTTACCAGGAATTCTGACAGGGCAGAGTGACTGAAGGGGGAGTGGGTGGGGAAGAGCAGCAGACCCAGCACCTGGCCAATGGCACACGAGTAGTCTTGAATGGTGGCTGACAGGCCAATGGCTGAGGGAGTGAATGGAATCTTGCCACTCCAAATTCCTTTTATAATATATGAGAGATACTTTTACTGAGCAAGAGGCTGTATTTCATAGATCTGCCATTTTGCTCCCCAGAGCCTTCTCTCCCAGCTCACTGTGTTCCTCCTCCCACCTTGTGACCCACTTTCTGTGGTCCTGACCCACAGTTTGAGACCAGCTATTAAGCTATTTATTTACTGAATCTGAAGCTGGGAGAAGATCTTGAGAACGATTAGGAGAATGTTCCCCAAATGTGTTGGGAACTGTTTCTGTTCATATTCACTGGGTAGGTAGATCAATAGCTCTCACACAAAATACTTCTTTCGTTTCAAAAATCAGGGGAGTTCAGCACTAAAAAAATACTGTACCTGGCCTTAGAATGAAATGGACAGTGCAGTGGGGTCTTGCTGCACAGCTGTGATGTGCATTCATGATGTACCAATCTGGTACAATACATGTACATTTCAAAGTATGGCTTATTTACTTGAAAAAAACTATTTGATTGCAACTAATCCCCTCCCACTAAACTTGGTGAATATTACTTGTGAGTCAACATTTTTAGGACTGAGATAAAAAAACTGACAGCAACAAAACCATGCCCTAGTGTGCTGCAAAAAGGGAACAAGAGAGATGACAGTGGGCAAACACAAGAAAACACATGAATCAGACCTGTGGTCCATCAAGCTCAGAATCGTCTACTCAGGTTGGCAGTGGCTCTCTTGGGTCTCAGGCAGAGGTCTTTCACATCACCTCCTACCTGGTCCTGAACCAAGGACCTTCTACATGCTCATCAGATACTCTATCACTGAGCCACAGACCCTCCCTAATGAGCCAAAGCCATTAACCAGAATTCAAATGTGGAAACAAAGATCCTTTTAAAAGCGACACTTCCCCTTTCACAAGTTCCTTATTTCTTATTTCCCTTACATTTTGCATGCAGGCTTTTGACCTTGCTATTAAAAGGGGAAATGCTAAATAGTTCATAGTGTTAGGTAAATATTTGATTTACCACAGCTCCTTTAACTAAGTGAAGACTTCAAAGAAAACCAGTATAAAAATAAGATTAACCTCTGGAACCCAGCTCTCTCTTCAGTGTTTGCAGAAGTGGGTATGCTCCTTGGTTGCAAAAAGAATTGCTGAAGTCATCCAGATCCATGGCCCAAACCATGCCACCCGCTAGGTTATTCTGCTTCAAATATATGACCTATGTATGAAAGGAAACACAAACTCAAGCATTTATAGGAGTAATCATGATGAAAGCAGCCACATTAAGTATAGGCTAATGGGGTCTGAACTTGCTGAGACTGAGAGGGGAAAAGATCTTGGGGTCATAGTGGATAGCTCAGTGAAAGTGTCAACCCAGTGTGCTGCAGCGGTGAAAAGGCAAATTCTATGTTAGAGATTATTAGGAAAGGGACTGAGAATAAAACGGTTGATATTGCAGTGCCTCTTTGGTGCAGCCTCATTTGGAATACTGTGTACAGTTCTGGTCACCATATCTCAAAAAGGACATTGCAGAGCTACACAGGAGGGCAACCAAGGTGATTAGGGGGTTGGAGTACCTTCCCTATGAGGAAAGGCTGAAGAGTCTTTTCAGTTTAGAAAATAGATGTCTAAGCGGGGACATGATCGAGGTTTATAAAATTATGCATAGGGTAGAGAGAGTTGACAAAGAGACATTTTTCACCCTCTCCCAAAATACTAGACCTCAAGGGCCTCCAATGAAGCTGATGGGCAGGAGGTTCAGGATAGACAAAAGGAAATACTCTTTTACACAGAGAGTGATTAAAACGTGGAATTTGCTGCAAGAGGATGTAGTGATGGCCACAGGAATAAACAGCTTTAAAAAGGGATTAGATAGATTCATGGAGGATGTATGTCAATGGCTACTAGCCATGGTGATGACCAAGGGGAACCTCCACATTCAGAGGCCCTAAGCCTCTGGAACCCTGCGCCAGGAGACAACACCAGGGGAAGGACTCGGCCTCTGTGCCCTGTTGTTGGCTGTCCAGAGGAACTGGCTGGCCACTGTGTGAGACAAAATGCTGGACTAGATGAACCACTGGTCTGATCCAGCAGGGCTCTTATGTTCTTATTAGAAAATAACCGATCATGGTTCTAGCCTAGCTCCATGACTAGGCTTTATAGAAGTCACACGTGACTTTGACATACAACCATATCTCATTGGGTATATGATTGTATATGATTGATTCAGGAGAATGATTCCCCACCCCCAACTTTTGAAAGGACCTACTGTGTAGAGACAGGAGAAGGATTTTTTAAAAGAAAACAGCATCAAGGGGGCAGCTGATTAAGGATGTAAACAATGGCAAAGGTGTGCAAAAGAGGCAGCCATTTGTTGTAGATCCTACAGACATTTTGGTTCTCTTTGAAAAGCCCCCTTTCATGCTTAAAATGGTCACAAATGAACTATTGACACAGCCCTAGTGGAAAACCTCATATAGGAAATGATCATTACATTACATTACACCTGCAAGGTGCTTTGGGACCCGATATCAAAGGGGATCCGGGCTCAGGGAGCCAGTGGCTGGGAGAGTGGCATGGATGGGGTGGAGAGGCAGGCAGACTCGGGTGTCCGTCTGGCCAAGCTGGGCGCACCTCTGATCCAGGCGGCTCTCCAGGGGGGGTCTAGGCGGGTCTGCTGTGCGCTCCCAGCAGGGCTCCTTACCCGTGGCTGGTGTCACAGTGTCTGGGGCTGCCCCGCTCATGGTGGGGGGAGGGGGAGGGGGCCCTGTTTACTGCTGGGTTTACTGCTGGAGCGTTGCTCCGGCCCACTCCGGCCTGAAATGAAACCTGATTACATATAGGATTTGCATTAATTCCTATATGGAAGTGCCTTCTGTTTAAGAATTCACAGCATAAAAAGTAACGCTCAAACAGCCCTTGTTAGTCAGATGCCTGCCATTTTGGAATGTCTAAGTATAAAGTTTGTTGAGCTCTACTAGAACTTTCTTAACACCAAAGGGACATCTACTTAGTATGCTTACCTTATTTTTAATGCTGTCCACATCATCATACCCTACCCACTGGTTTCCCTTGAAAGAATATGGAACCTTCTGCTCCGGAATCACTTTTGTAGTGGCACCTTGTTTAAAAATGCAGACCTAAAACAAAGCAAATTACGCTATGGATAAAGTTGCCAGATGTTTGGGTTTGTTGGAACAGACAGGGGTTGAGTTCTTTTTTCTTCATTGTGGGAGGTTTGGCGTCAGACACTGTTGCAACAGGTGATGATCTTAAAAGTAGGAAGTAGGAAGAAGACAGGATTGGGTGCCCTACCTTTAATAATGTCGTCTGAGAATGCTCTATGAAGAAAACATGTGACAGGAAATGGTAAAAGCATGTGAATCAAAAGAAATAGGAACATTTAGCTTGAATTGCTTAAAATATAAAGAACCCTGCTGGCTACCTCATAATAAGCCAATAATCCAGCCTCTCTTGTGAAAGTACCAGGTGTTCCAGGCCCTGAGGCTGGTGCATTAAGTCCAGTCTGTGAGGAAGAAAGGGTGAAGGTTTTTCCATACAGTGGCATTCCCAGGACAATCTTTTCAGCTGGTGCACCCTTGCTCTTCCAATACTGTACAGCGGCATCCTTGAAGAAGACAGGAAAGTAGTAAGCATGGTTTCCGCATGTGCTATACAATTTCTGACATTCAGAGCTTTCTGTTTTGTTGCTCCAGACCACAGGCCTGCAGTTTTTCAGTGCCTTTTATAATACTGGATGCAATCCAAAGATCTCCAAGTGGAAATGGGAAGCACTAGTCTTCCTATGGAAAGGAGTTCTCAATTTTCATTTCCATTTGCAGCAGCCCTTCATACTGCACTGAATCTTGAGAGGCTGCCACACAGGGGCAATTTTGTGTGTTGCTCTCATTGCTGTTGTGAATGTAGAGGATATGCATTGGCAATGGAGTATATGCACACAGCAATTCCCCCTGCACTTTCCTTGCCTCAGCCCCGGCCCCATTTCCCCAAGCTGCTTTTCAAGCTGGTAGTTGACAGATCACTGTCACTCAATAATATTATAATGGTCTATTACCATTTCATTCCCAGCTTTCATTTTTTAAAATGTGTCCAGCCATTTCCATTGTGGCATTATAAAGAAAACGTGCAGCCTGTCAACTGAGAAAAGGCTGATAATAACCCACTGGTAGCTCAGGGGGAATAGCAGCTGCAGGGGCTGTGGCAAGGTAAATAGCACTGCTGTGTGGGCAGAATCTGTAAAAGTGTGCACCTTCACATCCATGTGGCCTCCAAAGGTGATTAAATTGTGTTCTTTCTAAATAACAAACCAGGTTCTGGAATGATAGCAGCAGAAAATCTGGCAACAAGACAGGGAATGACATCATGTGGATGCTCACCCAAACAGTGGTTCAGTCAGAGAGCCAAGGCAGAGCAAAACATCCATGTAGAAGCAGCCCCCTTGCCCTGCAGGCTACTTCAACATTCAGGAGCAGATTTTAAGATCTTAAGAAAGCACAAGGGACTGCAGGCAGAAGGAGAGTCTGGAAAAGTCTCACTGTGTGTGAATAGCGCACAGGCGCCTTTGAATCCAAGCCATTTTCACCACTTGACAATGTTCTTCACGTAGCAGTGGTGGAAGTGGGCAGGAATAAGCAGGTACTGCTGAAGTTCAGGATTAATCTCCTTAAGACATTATCAATCTCTATTCATGGAGTGGTTGTTATCATTTCTGAGGCACAGGTACTGCTGAAGTTCAGGATTAATCTCCTTAGGACATTATCAATCTCTGTTAATGGAGTGGTTGTTATCATTTCTGAGGCAGCTATGGAGCGCTAGAAAATCCTTGAGCTTAGAGTCGCAGCAGAACATGATACAAGTGTTGAATATATGCCGTTTACTCTTTATTATTGCCCTGTTGCAAGCCAGTTCAGCACCATTTTAAGAAGCAACATTAGCTGTATAATGTTAAACTGCTAGTTTTCCAGCTACATGTGATTTGTGAATGCAAGGGAACATATTTTAAAAATCAGTTGTGCCTTATAAACAGTGGCTTGTATTCAATATGATTTGTTCGCAGAGTGGACCTTGTGGTGTGGGACTTTCCTGCTTCTCACCACAGCCTGACACCAGAAAGATGGGGAGCTGGAGCAGAGCGGCACCCCAAGTAGCAGCCTGGGTGCCCCTGCCCCACCAGCCATCCCTGACTCCTGCACTCGTCGCTGGCCCAACTCCTCCACCCCAGCAAGAGCCACCATGGCTGCCCCCCCCCACACAGTGCCTCAAATGGGGCCCATGATGAGTCCAGGCCCTGGCTTGTTCACAGGGTGGAACTTGTGGAGTGAGACCTTCCTGCTTCTCATTGCAGCCCCAAATTTTGTTTTGGGGACAGTAGACCTTCAGGAACAGTACATGGGGGAGGTAGAGGTCTCCAGTGTGTGTGTGCAGGGGATCAACAGAAATTGCTGCTCCCTTTTCCAATGATAACAGTTATGTTAAGTCTTCCACAGACTTACGGAGTGGTTAGATACAAGCCAATATCTAGAAACATCTTAAACTGTCATGAAAAGTCTTCCCATTTTAATTAATTTGCCAACTAAAGAGCATCATTTCACAGGGCACTGACACTATCTTACATTGTAGAAGGCCATCTGCTGATTTTTTTTAAAATGCAAAGATAGATATAAGCTATCTCATCATTTAATTGAATTGTACAGGAAGGTTTATCACTTACCGTGTCAGGGTATAGGGGGCTGACATGGCCCGTGACCTTTTCCCAAGATCCATGAAAATCATATGTCATGAGGTTAATAAGATCCAGATGCCTACAAGGAGAGAGGAAAAACCTCAAATGTTTTTCACCCTACTGTCAGAATAAGAATTCTCAATGGCTGTAGAGTACATCATGGGTAATTATATTGCTATAGGTAAGATCTGTCCACCTCTGAAAGTGGAGTTAACTGACTCAACTTTTTTGTGACCTGACTTTGTCCCCACCCCACTGCCTTTGCCTGAGCACACTCACTGTGAGATCTTGGAAATTTCATAGGCTTTGTCGCTGGTTGTCTTCCCAGCAGCCACAGCAGCAGTCAGCAGTAGCCTTTCCTTCCCTGTCGCCTGGGCTTCTGCCTGGAATTCACTAGACATTTCCTAAGTAAAATGGTTGAACAAACATTAACTTTGCTTTTGTCCATCTTGTTAAAAACAAAGCAAAACTAATTGAAACAATGCAGAAGAGGCACTCCGTGCACACGCAGCACAGCTGCAACCCTGTGACTCAGCTAGCATTGTCCCCAAAGTAGTTAAAATCCAAGATTGTGGTTTCTCCTTCTTTCCATTACAAGGACCAATTAATAAAATGACAATAAGCAGGACTTCTTTTCTTCGGGAATGCACCGGAACAGAATCTCTTTGACAAAGTTCTTTTTAAAATGTTTAAAAGCTAATGAGTTTTCAGTATACAGATTGAAAACTTCATTTTCTTTTTCAAAAAAAGCCCTGAAAGGTATACTTTGTTCCACATTCTGCTTGTCCAATGATTTAATTGCCAGCTTCCATACCCCATATTAATTTGGAATTGCTGGTCTAGGCCTCTTTGTTCTACTGATTTTGGTATCTTGAATGGTTTCTCAATTACATGTTCATTCCCAAGATAAAAACAAACCTAGGAGTTGGTTTATGACTGAATAGTTTCTTCTAACATAATTTCTTTTGTTATGCTTTTTCCAGACTAATCTTGTGTAAACATTTAATGTGTAAACCCATTAAAACTGAAATCTTAAGTGTGTTTAATTCTACATAAGACTGTAGTTGAGGTTGGAAGTGAGGGAGCCAGTGTGGTGTAGTGGTTAAGAGCAGCAGACCTGAATCTGGAGAACTGGGTTCTGTTCTGCACTCCTCCACTTGAAGCCAGCTGGGTGACCTTGGGTCAGTAATGGCTCTTTCAGAGCTCTCTCAGCCCTCCAAAATAAGTCTAGCTTGCCACCTAGTGGTGCACAATGCATGATGCAGTGGTGCACAGTGCAAAAAGAGTTAGAACATGAGGGGACATGTGGGGAGGAAACTGAAAGGAAAAGTATTGGGGAAGCTTGGAAACTATTTAAACTATTTAAACTATTTAAAACTATGATCCTAGAAGCTAAAAAAAAATATATATTCCGCAGGTTAGGAAAGGCACAAACAGGTATAGGAAAAAGTCTGCATGGTTAACAAACAAAATAATGGAAGCTGTAAAAGGTAAAAAGGATTCCTTTAAGCAGTGGAAAGCTAGTCACAGTGAGGCTGATAAAACGGAACACAGGCTATGGCAAATAAAATGCAAGTCTGTGGTCAGGCAGGCAAAAAGGGAATATGAGGAGCATATAGCGAAAAACGTAAAAACCAACAATAAAACTTTCTTCAAATACATTAGAAGCAGGAAACCAGCCAGGGAGGCAGTGGGGCCCTGTCAGACTCACAGCGAACAATGAAATACACTCTTGCAGGAAGGTTTTATTTTATTTTATTGAAGCCATGAAGTACTTAGAACAACTTTTCTGTTCAGAATAACACAAAGGGCTTGAGACTGGGATAATAAAGCAAGTTCAAAATAGCATGGGCCAATAGATATGATTCCCGCGCCCGCCTTGAGGCTCATCTCGCGCTCAAACCTTAAGAAAGCAATGGCTGTAGCTAATTAAACAATTCTTCTGTTCTCACACTACTGTTCATTATAGACTAAGCAAAAAGCCTCCACCAGTGCACCACCTGTAGCTTCGGCTGATAAGGTTCCTTCAAAGCAACGCTACCGTACATAGAAAGGAATGCAGTTGACTATGAGCTCTGGAGAGTGAGGGGGGACATGCGCACCAGAGTGTAAACCAGTGCAGGGAAGGAAGGGGGGGGTGACACACACCTCATATACACTGAAAAGATATATTGGCAGCTTGCTGACAGGCCCTTGGATGACCAAGGGGTAAAATGAGTACTGAAGGATGATAGGGAAATGGCTGAGAAGCTAAATGCATTTTTTTGCCTCTGTCAGAGTCCAATAGTGCTAAAGAAAGCTACATATCATGCTTCATGGATACGATCATGTATCTTTTTTCCAATACCTATGATAATGAAAAGGTATCTTTTACGTCAATACCATTTTCATGAATGTATACTTCACCAACTCTCATTTTGAAAAGTAATTCCATAAGAACAAGATTTTTAAAAAATCATTTGAACATAAAAAGTAGTCATTTGGAAATCAGAGATACACTGAATATTTTAGCAGCACTGTTTTGTGGTGGTACCACTTATAGTTACAAGGTGCATGCTATTCTAGCTACTGTGTTTTGCAATATAATGCAACATGTTTTAGTACTTGAATTCATATAGTATATACTTTGCTGATCGATTTGCATACCATATCGATCCCAAGGGTTTTTAAATGTGTTTCGCTTGCCTGATTAACTGATTTATTTAACCTATTGACCTTTACTCTTAATTAACAACCCTATGTAAATGTTGAGTAGTAATCAAGTGGCATGCAATTTTGTGTGTAATTTAAATCTTGTGAAGTTCTACATATTATATCTTTATGCCAGGAATGAGTCAAAATGTTGTTACTTCAGGCCAAAATATGTAGATTTTGATAGCTTTGGTTTTTTTATCAAACATTTATCCATGTTACTAAAATGTGAATTTTTACTTTGCTCTCTCCAGAGTGGTGATAACATTTGTAAAAAGCAACTGCTGTCCCCTTTAAATTAAGCTAAAATCAAAACAATAGTCTTTCTTCCCCACCATACTGTGTTATTTTAATACATGGAAAGTTTTCAGTTCTACTCCCAAACACAGATTCTGCTTCAATGTGTGTGTCGATGAAAGATAAGGACGAAGTTGTTCAGGGTGGTTAAAACGAGTGAGGATTGTGAGGCACTCCAAAGGGATCTGTCAAGGATGGGCAAGTGGGCGTCAACATGGCAAATGGGGTTCAATGTGGCCAAGTGCAAGGTGATGCACATTGGAAACAAAAATACTAACTATAAATAAACATTGATGGGGTCTGAACTGGCAGAGACTGATCAAGAGAGATATCTTGGAGTTGTAGTAGATAACTCACTGAAAATGTCGAGACAGTGTGTGACTGCAATAAAAAAGGCCAATGCTATGCTGGGGATTATTAGGAAGGGTACTGAAAACAGATCAGCCAATATCATAATGCCCCTATATAAATCAATGGTGCAACCTCATTTGGAATACTGTGTGCAGTTCTGGTCACCACACCTTAAAAAGGATATTATAGCTTTGGGAAAAGTGCAGAAAAGGGCAACTCGAATGATAAAAGGGTTGGAACACTTTCCCTATGAGGAAAGGTTAATGTGCTTACGGCTCTTTAGCTTGGAGAAACGACGACTGAGGGGAGACATGATTGAGGTTTATAAGATAATGCATGGGATAGAGCAGGTTGGGAAAGAGGTACTTTTCTCCCTTTCTCACAATACAAGAACTCGTGGGCACTCCATGAAATTGCTGAGCGGTCAGGTTAGAATGGAGAAAAGGAAGTACTTCTTCACCCAAGGAGTGGTTAACACTTGGAATTCACTGCCACAGGAAGTGGTGGCGGCTACAAGCATGGATGGCTTCAAAAGGGAATTAGTGCTGTGTTTTACTATACCTGAACCAAAGAAGTGAAGCGTTGTTTATCCTCTGCAGGGCTGCCTCTGTCTGCAGGATATTCCCAATCTAGATCTAGGCCATCAAAACCATACTTTCGCAGGAATGAAACCACAGAGTGAATAAATGTCCGGCGATTGGCAGGAGTAGCCACCATGGCTGAGAACCTAGCATCAGAAACAATGTATTAACAAGATAATGGTTGCTTTGCTTTGTACCCTTGGACCACTTAAAATATTGGCGTTCACTTAGGAGAGATGATTTTACAAACCCTAGATGACATAGGGGTAAATCTGACAACTTTGTATAGAGTTTAAAAGGTAAAGGTTCCCTTGCTCGAAAGCCAGTCGAATCCGACTCTAGGGTTGTAGTGCTCATCTCCGTTTCAAAGCCGAAGAGCCAGCGCTGTCTGAAGATGTTTCCGTGGTCATGTGGCCGGCATGACTAAACACCAAGGCGCACGGAACGCTGTTACCTTCCCACTGAAGTGGTACCTCTTTATCTACTTGCAATTTCTTGCTTTCGAACTGCTAGGTTGGCAGGAGCTGGAACTAGAGACAGGAGCTCACTCCGTCATGCGGCACTCGGGTCTCGAACTGCTGAATTACCGACCTTCCACAGCCTGCAGTTCAGCATCTAGACAATCAGGTTAATGAAGTTGCAAAGAATGGCTTGGGTCCACCAGAGCATTTTCATGGATGAAAGTATTGGCACCCACGGTGTGTAACCTTCTCATGCAGGAGCAGCATTGTGAGGGCATTAGAGGCTGTAGTAGGAAGGGGGAGGTGAGAAAGTTGCGCTCTGCAGGTGGAAATCCTTCTGTCTGCAGAAGTGTTCCAGTGGATCCAAAGCAATGCATTCTTTCAGCAGCATTTGATGAGAAGCCTGATAATCTGGTCATGCTTAGGGTTGCCAGCTCTGGGTGGCGAAATAACAGGAGATTTAAGGGGGTGGAGCCTGGGGACGGCAGGGCTTGGGGAGGAGAGGGACCTCAGCAGGGTATAATGCCCCCTAGTCTACCCTCCAAAGTAGCCGTTTCCTCCAGGGGAACTGAGCTTAGTTTTCTAGAGATCAGTTCTAATAGTGGGAGATTTGGATGTGAGGGTGATCTAGCTGAGACATTGATTGCCTCCATTGATTGACCCCATTGATTGCCAGGGTTGATTTGGCTGATCTGGCTGGCTAGGTGGGTGTCCCCTACCTCCCTCACCTCTCCATGTGCATGCATCCCTCCAGAAGCTGCGTGCTCAGTCGAAAAGGGTGACCATCCCAGATAGAAGGAGTGTACCGTTCTTTGGTCAAGGGTATATGACAGTTGCGCTCCCCTGCTAGAACCTCCAATAGTGGGCGGGGTATAAATTAAATAAATAATATAAATACTACAATTTGCTCTGTAAATGGTGGCCCTTGAAAATTTAGAAACTGCAACTGGTACAGAATAACATGGTTCACCTATTGGTTAGTGCTTGCAGATGAGAGCACATCACTCCCATCCTATGATAAGAACATAAGAAAAACCATGTTGGATCAGGCCAATATCCCATCCAGTCCAACACTCAGTGTCACACAGTGGCTAAAACCCAAATGCCATCAGGAGGTCCACCAGTGGGGCCAGAAGTCCAGAAGCCCTCCCACTCTTGCCCCCCAAGCACCAAGAATACAGAGCATCACTGCCTCAGACATAGTGTTCCATCTATACCTTGTGACTAATAGCCGCTGCTGGGCCTCTGCTCCATATGTTTACCTAATCCCCACTCAAAGCTGTCACTTGTAGCTGCCACCACTTCCTGTGGCAGTGAATTCTATGTGTTAATTACTCTCTGGGTAAAGAAGTACTTCTTTTTATCTGTTCTAAACCTACTGCTCATTAATTTCATTGAGTTCCCAAGAGTTCTTGTATTGTGAGAAAGGGAGAAAAGTACTTCTTTCTCTGCCTTCTCTATAGCTTCACTGGTCACCATTATGGCAATTCAAGATGCTGGTTTTTATTTTTATAAGCCTATACAACCTACGCCTAGCCTACTTGAAGGACCATCTCTCCCATTATGAGCTTGAGTGCCATATGAGATCTCCCTTAGAGCTTTCTCCCAGTACAGCCCTGCCTTAAAGTTGTTTGGCCACTGCCCAGGGTCATTATTTCTCAGTGGTGGCCCCAGGCTTTGAAATGCTTCCCCAGAAAACACGACGACAGCCCCTACACTAGCCTGCCTCCATAAGCAATGGAAATCTGTATTATTTGGATAGGCTTTTGGAGGAGCTTATGGTTCATATATGCCCTGGGGGCATGGGGTGGTTTATTTACTTGATGGTATTGTGTGTTGAATCTAGATTCTTTTGGTTTTAATGCTTTTGTTGGCTGTCAGCCAGGCCTTTGTGTGCTACCTTGCACCACCGTGGTAAGTAGGAAAGACAGGCTATAAGTATTTTAATAAATAATAATAATTCAGCATGTATTTGCTCTGAAAAGATAGTCTTTTCCAGCGTTAATATTCCAGCTTTCATGAATTTGCTAAGTGAATATGAGGACTGATGTAAGTGAATAACTATTTTGGTTTGGTAATATATCTGGAGATGAAAGAGCTGAGCTAATTTGCATTTTTTGCTTACATTTAATTAACAATCTCGGTGGTTATTTGCAGAAAATCCTAGAACAAATATGGGTATTTTAAAATCTGGTATCTTCTTCCTAAACTTTAAACATCCCTTTTTCTTATTTTAAAATCTATCTTCATCCATGAGAATTAGAATTTTTTTTAAAATAACAGAAAAAGCTGGGATTCTTCAGGATTCTAGAAGGAACCTACAGAAGGAGCAAAAATTGTTGTGACTGTGATAAGGCTATGTGAGGAACCCCCTCATTTAGAAATCCCACCCCCACATCTTACTTTGCAGAACCAAAATTCCATCCGCCAATAGCTAAAAGCGTCTTCAGGCTTGGATTCCTAGATGGGAGAGAGAAAAATAGCACAACTGGGCATGCAAACATGTGTTACATTGTAAATTATGTTTTACCATTTCCTCTAAATTCTAATGCAGATCAGGGGGCAATAGATGTAATGCAAAGCCAGCTGCCCTTTGCATATCCCTAGCTGGATGAGAAACCAAGTGCACAAACTGGTCCTGTGCACATGGTTAAGAGCAGAAGAAGAGCCCTCCTGGATCAGATCAATAGTCCATCCAGTTTCTCTGAATGGCCAACAACACGGCATAAAGGACAAGACCTCCCCCTGGCTCTGGGATTCAGAGGCTTAGTGCCTCTGAATATGGAGGTTTTCCTCAGTCACCATGGCCATTGATAGACTTATCCTCCATAAATCTATCTATATGGTTCTCTCCCTATCCAATTCCTGGCACTGTGTCCATAAAACCTTTTCAAAAAGGTGAACTTTAAGGCATTCTGTTATGTAACAGGGGAAGTTGACAGCTGGATTGGGAAGAAGAAGAAGACCCTGTGAAGTAGGCGGAGCTGAGAGAGCACTGAGAGAACTGCTCTTGAGAGAATAGCTTTGAGAGAACTGTGACTGACCCAAGGTCACCCAGCAGCTGCATGTGGAAGAGTGGGGAATCAAACCCAGTGTGAACCAGAGTTACCTAGCATATTTTTCTGACTGGGAAAGACTAATAGTAAGATATCCAATACAGGGGTTCCTAATGTGGAACCTCTGTGCACACACCGAAACCTTTCCTGGCACCTGCCCCAAGTGTTTTTAGGAAGTAGGTGGAGCCAAGTGGGACTTTTGGTCACTGGAGATCTGATTGGCTGTGCAGACTTTTTTAAAAAAAAATTGCTTTGGCAGCAGCTGCCATTACAGCATACAAATTTTCACTGTACGACTGAAGGTAAGCTGTGAATATGCAAGAAAATATTTTTAAACAATTTTTCAAAATGCCTCCTGTTAAATAGAGTTTCTGCCTGCAATATTGAAGAGTTACTATTAGAGTTATGCTTAACCTTACTCCCGGACATTAGCTCTGCCTCCTACAGCAGCCGTTTGGTGGTTGTACCCACCACTCTGTGTCAGAATTTCATAGGTGCTCAAAAAGGCTGGGCACCCTTCAGATCGATGATGTCAGATACAGGGGAATGTGAAGCTGGAGAGAGAGCAGCTATGAGGAATCCCTGTCCTAAAAATTGTTTTGGACAGAATGTATTTTGCAGCTAGTAAAGAAAGGCGGGTACAGGAAAGGCGGGTTATAAATAGAAAATAATAAATAAATAAATAAACAAGGCACAAATACATGCAACTAGAAAACAATTCTGAATGAACAATACCTCTTACAAGATGGCTCTGGTTTCGTTAGAAGAAGAACAATTGTACTACACGGGAGAATGAATGAATGAATAGTAATATTGTTGTTATTACTGTATCGAACCAGCTGATGCTGATATATATGTCAGAATTTGTGTGGCAGCCGTTTCCTCTCAAATTTGATTAACCTAAGACTACATAGCATTTTTATCAGTACTCATGGGGTATAAAATGCCAGTTCTAGAAATTGGTCTTTCTTCCCAGCCCTCTACTTACCTATGTTTGAGTTGATTGAAATCCTGATAGAGTTTCTCATCATTCCATTCCACTGTTGTGATCTTGTTCTCATTCATTCCCGCAAATGCATAAATGAGATGAGTGCACAGGTTGGGATCGATGTTCTCGGGGAGGAATCGCCCTCTCTCTGGTCTGTACTGAGCCCAGTTGGTGAAGTAGCAAACCAGGTTTAAAGCTGAGCCTGTGGAAATGAAATATGAAAGATAAAATTGTTGATGAAGGAGACCATCCTTTTTGCTTTTGTCCTTTTCTCCTTGTTTTAGCACTTAGGGGGTTATGGAGTGGCAGAAAATAGTTTTCCTAATCCTTTGCCTTTTTTTGTTTTCAGTCTTTGCTCCTCTTTTTAAAAAACCCCTTTGATTTCTATGAGTAACTCTGGAAGAATGGTGCCTGATTGGAACTACAGTGACTTACAGTGCAATCCTTACTCTCATTTCCAAAGGATTTGGGATGATGACTAAGCTTTAGGCCAGCATATTTTGAAGATATACTGGTGTATCTGGAAATATGTCAGTGGCAAGCCCCCGCTGTCCAGCAAAGTGGCGTGTGTAACTCCAGTGCTGACATAGAACTAGGTGCCGTGAAGGTCATGTCACGCACAAAATGGGACTTCGGTCCAATCCGCATTGGTCTTTCCTGCTGTTGTGCCACCGATCCTGCATCATCTAACAAATTTCTGTCTGCATCTCATTCCACATCTGCTCTTGTATTGCTTCGTCTCAGCATCAGCTGTCTGCATCATTTTATTGCCATTTAGTAGTGACTCCAATGTCACTGCAGCACCTCACCACATTATGTGGATTTGCTTTTAAGGTGGTTTAATTGCTCTGAGCCACCCTCTGAACCG